GCTACTTTGTGGCAAGCAGATAAAGGCAGATCTGCTATACAAAGAATAGGAAAACTAGAACAGGAAAAGTCAGCCTCTCCTTTGGGATACTGACAGACAATGTGTGGCGTCAACACTGCATCACACCCTGATTCAGCCTTCAGACCCAGCTTATCACCAACTCTGGCCTTGCCTGAAGCACGCACGTCACCTTGGACTTCTCCAGCACTACCACCACCAAGAAGCAACAACACGAAGGTCCTGCGTGTGTCTTTTAATTTGTTTATTAATTTAAAGAGACATATTTCTGTTGATTGCTATCAGAATTCATTTGGAAGATTATTTAAAATTTGAAAATAATACAATGAACCTAAAAAAACAGATGTCATCTCTACTTTAAAAAAAAAAATGACTTTTTTTTTTCCCAATTTCTAAGTGCAAAGTCGGCACCTATTGACTTTACCTGGCAGTAATTAAATACCTCTAACATTAAAGAAATTTAACCTACCTCATCAAGGGTGGTGTCCTCTTTCTTCAAAGCTACAAAACAAAAAGGGAAAGGAAACAGTTACTATGAAACATCTCAAAGAGATCAAGGTATCTAAGTCCTCGAAAACAAAGCAGTTTGGTGTTTTCATTTCAGAAAGTACCCCAACGTGAATAACAATGTTATAATACAAATACAAGACCTGCAAATACAACAGAGAATTGTACAGATGCGTCTTTGTGAAACACTTTTCATAAATATGTAAATGGAACAATCCTCCCAAGTATGGGGAAAAAGTATGCATATCTTTCTCCTCTCTCTTCTTCAGTAGGAAAATGTTTTAATGAAATATAACAGAATCACAAAGCAATCTTTAAAGACATTTCCCTTAAACTCCTGGTTTCTGAGCACATATCGTCATAGGTGTTAATGAATCTCCCAACTGTTAGAATGACACCCACTCCACATAGTGCTCTGAACAACATTTTCATACCGGCCAAAGTTGAGGCACAGCAGTGTAAGACCAAGTGTGTAAAAGAAGGATTGCAGAGTAAAGACATTACTTCAAACAATATTCTCAAACATGATATATTTTATAACAAAATATAGTTCAAAGAAAACCATTTTGTTGTTATGGTGATGGTGGTAGTAGCATGCCATCCAGTCAATTATAATCATAGCTACCCTAGGACAGAGTAGAACTGCACCACAGGGTTTTCAAGGAGCAGCTGGTGGATCCAAACTGCCGACCTTTTGGTTAGCAGCCGAGCTTTTAACCACTGCGCCACCAGGGCTCCCAGAATATCTTACAGGAGCCAGCAAACACTTTAAATTTATTTTAAACATATGTATTTTGAGAACTGGAATTTTATCTAAGATGAAGTATTTATGTATAGTCTGCAAACATCTAGTTTCTTAAATCCTACAATTATTTTAAGTGATTCATATTAAGGAGAATGAGCAAAGTAGCTAATTTACCTGAAATCACTATTTGGAGAAACGTTTCAAATTTACAGAATTGTGCATGGGTATATATGGGACTATACTGGATAGCTCTATTCTGGATAGAAGCACTTGGGTAGCTATTACTTTGGAAAGCTACGTTCTGACAATAGCAGCGGAAAGCAAATTATTTTGGCAATTATGCTCTGAGAGAAGTAACTTGCCTAAACTGAAGCTATCATTATCAAAGCTTATAATACATAGTCTAGCAATCTTGAAAAGGTTATTTTCTTTGTTAAATACAATAAATCTGTCATTTTAAAGGAATCAAGAAGGATATGGTTGTGGTCGTGAGTTAAGGGAGTTGAGCATAAGGTGAGGGGCATAAAATGTTCCCCAAAACTGAATACTCAGTCTTTCTGTTTTGCTTAAGAAACTGATCGATAATAGATTTTTCCACTTCTTTATTAGAGAGCGATTTCTTCTGAATAGAAAATGAAAAGACAGTCTTTTGTCCCCATCTCAAATGGTTTATCTTATACTCAATTATTTGTACATATTTTATTATGTATTTAACTTACATTAAATCCAAAACAATCTATTTTGATAAAAAGATCTAAGACTCTAGATGATTTCTAATGGCTACATGTTTACTAGAATTTAAAGTTTCTATTCTAGAAGGCTTCCTTTAAATAGTCAACAATGTTACTATACTCCACAATCCTTTACCCAAGGCATGTCCTTTAATTAACATACTTAACTAGTAATTCCTTTATAATATTAGTGACCTACATAAATACAGACAAGTTACTCCATCTGAAAAACTTTTTTTTTAATAAGTAATGATTAGTTGATTGATTTCAAATACAAAGTCACACATAAGCAAATTACTGTACAGCCTCATAACTGGCTCATTTAACAAAGATTAACGGAACGCACACAATGTGACAGCCAGATAAGATGAAAAGCTATGGCAAACGACGCAAAGCTTACAATTTGTAGCACAAACTTTTAGATATATTTTCTTTACTCTGGATGTTATAAAAGTTCTAGAAATTTTGTCATGTGTTTTCTTAAATAAAACATTCCACTGAGAATGACAGCTGATACTCTCCTTGGTAGCGAACTGCAAACATGGAATGAAGGCCCTCAAGATGGTGACAGCAGAAAACTAGAATGTCTTCAACACTCAGACTGAACTATTTCCTTCCAGGCCCCTACCTACTAACTGCCATCAAGTCGATTCCGACTCATGGTGAGCCCATTTGTGTCACAGTACAACTGTGCTCCATAGGGTTTTCAGTGGTTGATTTTTTGGACGTAGATTACCAGGCGTTTCTTCCAAGGTACCTCCAGGAAGACCCAAACCACCAACTTTTCAATTAGCTGCGAAGTACATTAACCATTTACACCACCCAGGGACTCCTCTAGCTCCCAAATCCTGCCAATTCCTAAAACATTCTGGATATCTAAGAGGTGGGTCTGTAGGTGGAAAAAGGAGGAGAAAACAGAAGAGGAAACTGCAGGTGTATTTTGTAAGTTGTGAGGAGCAGGAAGCCATATTCAGTCCCCTGCATACTACTCTTAGCCCCAGAATACCATACCAGTGTATGTTTTAAGATCAAGAAGCCCATCTTCATTGAAACTCTTCATGTCTAGATTGACACCTTACATGGTTTCTTCTAAATATTGAATCCTTGTGCTGAATAGCAGTTAAGTGACAACAAAGACCAATTAAAAATGTCTTTGTCAGATATTTATCAGATCATTGATGAATAAATTCTGACCTAAACAAGCACATAACATCTAGTTATTGATTATATCCCCTGACTGTCATTAATCATTCATGTAAATATAAACCCACAGTTGTCTTTAATGATATCATGGAATAAAAAGCATATTACATTATCCTGGATTAACAAAGGGAAGTATATTAAACCATTTATGATACTCAGATATTCCATTTAGTCTTCTGGGGAGAGCGAGCAGTGCCCCCCTACATTCTCTAGTGCAGCAAACTGCACTGACCTCCATGATAGAATTTACAACTCTGCATTGTCATTGCTCATTCTTTTGCCTGTCTTCCTCTAAAGTCCTTGAGGTCAAGGATTAGTTTCATCGGTCATGGCATCTGAGTGCCAGCACAATGTCTGGCACAAAGGAGGTACTCGGTAGTTATTTGTTGAATTAATGGGTTTTACTTAAATGGTAAAAGAACAGTATCTTATATTTTTGAGACACGTTAACATTTTGGCACATGAAAACCGTAAACTGTTCTCTCTCACGAACGGATCATAGATGTAAAATCCATTTTAAATTAAAATCTTTTGGGGACGCATGGGATGAGGACATGGAACAACAGTTGAACTTTGTGCCTGAACCACCTATAATTCTTTTCTGACAGAACAAATTCATCAGATGACAACTAGAATCTAGAATTACACACTTGCAGCATAAGGCAACAAATGCAAAAATTTAGTGTAACCACAGCATCTTCTTTTTATTCAGTTCTCTCACAAACTATACCCTTTAAAGAAATGGTATGCATGGGGTTCATCTCAAGTATCACAGACTATAAACGTTCTTTCTCTAGGAGATAATTCAAATAAATGTGAAAAAAATGCATTCGAATGAATATGAAGAAATGTCAGTTTGACCTTATTCGGACACTGGATATTACAGAAAGCTTTTCTCTTCCTATCACCCAAAAATGAAAAGGAAACAAGCAAAGAAAAGAGGAAATGGATGTGAATATACTTAAATGATTTTAACAATTGAGTTTCCATTTGTCTTTACGTTAGACTAAATTTTAAAAAAACAAACATGTGTGAGATAACTATTTAAAAAAAACTCCGATGCCATCAAGTCAATTCCAACTCATATCGACCCTATAGGAGAGCAGACCTGCTCCATAGGGTTTCCAAGGAGCAGCTGGTGGATTCAAATTGCCGACCCCTTGGTTAGCAGCCGAACTTTTAACAACTACGCCACCAGTAATTCCTAAATAAGTGACCACACTGACACTATTTAGCAGAAAACCATAGTCACTACTGAAATCGATGGGTGACTTTAAAATTCAATTACACCAGTCTTATAAAAGAACCATGGCTGTATTATAGTCACTCCCCGGCAGATGTCGTAAATTAGAATGCTGTGGCTTGAAAGCCAATGTGTTTTATTAGTCCTCTTATAATGTAGTAATCTCAGATCAGCTGTATTTGGAGTGGAGATCAACAAGATCTTTCACTTTTGAACAAATTAAACATTAGCATGTATAACTTTCTTCTATTTAGAATTATTATTATTAATAAACACTGACTGGACATCACATATTTTCAAACATTGTCCTCATTTTCTGTAGATGAATAATAAGTAATTTCTTATGGCTAAACAACGATACTGTACATTTCACCATGTAACAAGCTACAACTTTGAAACATACTAAAAAGCAAAATGAAGCAGTACGTTTATTTCAATAGCCATCTTAGATTGGTTAGAGGAGATGAGTACATTGAGATGTTTGATTATTCAGTGAGAATAAAGCATTCACTCTTTGATCTCCCCATGAAGTACCAGTGAAGAAAAGAGGAAAATATGGGATAAATGGAGAAACTGGAAGGAATAATAACAGCCTCCAGTATTGATCTTCACCACGTGATAGATATTGCACTAGATTATGCATTTTATCTGATTCAATCTTCACAACCACCTTATGAATATTTACATACGTCAATGAGGACTCTAGGGCTTAAGGAAATTCTGCCAGTTACCCAAGGCACAGAGCAAGCAGGAAAAGAGTTCAAACCCAGACTTGCCTAATTCCAAAACCCATCCTTTTTCCAGTCTGGCCATACTCTTGTCTCCAACCTGTAATATCAGCTATCTCAGTATGATGTAATCCCTAATAATGATAATGACAATATCCTGCAAAGGTTTGACTCCTTATTAAATATCACTAAGGGCATCAGATGTATTATTTCCCTAAGTGCCAACAAAAAGACTTAGCTGTACACGAAAAACTGAAGCTCAAAGAAGTTGAGGGACTTGTCCAACATCACTCAACTAAGAGTAGCAACACCTAGAATTCCAAGTCTTGACACATGGCAGGCACTCTTAATCCATGCACTATACAATCCCATACCCCACTGCCACTGAGTCAATTCCAATTCATAGTGACCCTATAGGACAGAGTAGAACTGCCCCATAGGGTTGCCAAGGAGCGCCTGGTGGATTCGAACTGCCTACCTTTTGGTTAGCAGTCAAACTCTTACAGTAAAGCCTTAATTCAATGCCTCCAGTGCCTTAAAAATCCTTAAATAATCAGAATTATTTCAGTGCTTTTGATTTTAAAAATACAATATAAAATATAAATGAAAGAGTAGATAACAAAGATTTATTTTCCTGTAATGCAATTTCTAATTAATGTCCTGCGGCTGGTATACAATCATAATCACTTAGAACTTCCATATCTTCTTTTATAGTATTCCACAACGACATTTGCTATTCAGAATCATTACTGAATTCTGCAATTCATTACTGCGATCAGTTTCTTACTGACCCTCCATCAATAAAGAAATAATCAGTTATGTTCATTGCACTGTACTCTGCTTCCTAAAAAGAGAAGTAAAATCTACTAGGAGATCTTAGAAGACAAGCATTGGAATCAAGAGGAGTTTCACATCACTAAATCTCAGTAAGCTAGAAAATCCAATTAACCATAACACTCCATTTGCCAGCACTGCAGTTAATCCAAATGTTACCGATTGTCAATCAAAACTCTGGAATTATTTAAACATTAGAAATTTTATATTAATGTCCTTGGCTTCTTACTGAGACTCAACTGCAATGAATTATTTAACACAAAACTGTTGGGGCTCCAACAGAGTCATTAGCATTAGTAAATATACAGTTAATGTGTTTTAGAACAGGAGCTTAATGGACTCCAGAACCTGTATATGCGATGGTCTGGGTTGGTAGCTGAAACATCCTAGTTAATAATGTACACCAACTCAACACCTTGTTCTCTCACACTTCTTGGCTGCAAGCTTCATTTGAATGTAAGGACTCCCCATATGTATTCCTAACTCTTAAGAGTGAAACTGCAAATATCCAACACATGCAATAAATAAAACCAGGACTAAGTACTGGTTGCACACCATAACTTTACAGTAATCTTGGAAAAGAGTTGGTTTACCAACACGAAATTTTAAATTAAAAGACAACAAACAAACATTGATGCTTTCTGTCACTTGATAAAAGTTAGCATATTTTAAGACGTACTTATAAAATGATTTTTAAATGAATGGATGAAAGGATGACTACAAGATTCATGTGCACTTTTAACAGGCCAGGTTTAATTTTGTTTCAAGGTATAAAGCACATTTATGCATAATTTCCATTAACACCTTCATTAACATGGGTGGCATGTTAAACAAGTGAAACAGAGGCTAGAAGGCTTTTAGAGTCTCTAAGGAGTTATTTTTCATGCTCCTGTGATTTTCTTGCTGAGTACAGTTACCAGTGTAAATAAAAGTTATGACAGTAAAGAAGGCAGCTACCTATTGTTAAAATGGGGTTTTCTATGGCCAACACTCGAAATCTAACAGACCCATTCCACAAGACACTGCTGTCACCCTGTTACAGCCCGTAACCTGGATTTATTCTTAAATGTCCTAAACATTTTTAGGTCGGTTTTTATTGATTGACTGGTTGGTTTAAAGACAATAGCCCCCGTTGTTGTTGTTAAGTGCAGTCGAGTTGGTTAGACTCATAGCGACCCCATGTACAACAGAACGAAACACCGCCCGTCCCACAATCGTTGCCATGTTTGAGCCCATTGTTGCAGCCACTGTGACAATCCATCTCGTTGAGAGTCTTCCTCTTTTTCTCTGACCTTCTACTTTACCAAGCATGATGTCCTTCTCCAGGGGCTGGTCCCTCCCGGCAACATGTCCAAACTACGTAAGACAAGTCTAGCCATCCTCGCTTCTAAGGAGCATTCTGGCTGTACTTCTTCCAAGACAGATTTGTTTGTCCCCTGAGCTCTTGTAATGGAAGAAGTTCGGGAGACTTATTCCTAAATGTCCAGGTAACTTCTACAGCGCGGATTTCTCTGAAGTAATAGGAAGATTCAAAGACCACAGGACTAACACCGAAATCTCGCTTTCTAGGACCCGAAGTACTGAACAAAAGGTCCCAAGGTATCTCTCCCACTTCCCTTTGGGTTGGATGTGCTAGACAATACCAAGGCACAACCCAACGTTCCACCAATTTCCAAAGCTAAATTATTGACACTCTATACCAAACCCTGCGAGTAAAAAATAACAAATGACCCGGGCGGCGGCGCAGCCCCGGGAGGGGTGGGGGCCGGGTCGTCCCCGAGCCGATCCGCCGCGGGCGCGGAAGTCCGAATGCTAAGGGGCTGAAAGGCGGAACTCCAATTGTAGACTTGAAATTGTCCATAAATGAATCCCTAGGTCCTAGGGAGAGAGGTGTCGCTCCTTCACGCGTCGCTGCCCCTCCCCACCCGGGTCCCAGGCACTGTCCCCTCCTACCCTCCTGTGCAGCGCAGCACCCCACGCCAGCCCCGGGTGACCGCTGCATTGCTAGTGCCTGGAGCGCGCCAGGGTGCTGGGCCGAGAGGAGCGGCGACGTGGGCGTCGAGCCTGGAGTCTGGGGCAGAGCGCCACTCACCAATACGGCTGAAACTCTCCGACAAAGTTCTCCGCAACTTCTTCATCTTGCCGATCTTCTCCGCCGGCTGCGGCTCAATGAGGTCGCACATCTGGGCGACGCAGGGCCCAGGCAACTTCCCCAAACTGGTCCAGAGTGGAGCGCAGACAACGGCAAGGGCGCGCGGCGCAGGGAAGGCGGCGCCTCCTCCTCCTCCGCCTCCTCCTCAGGCCGGGAGGCGACGAGCAGGGCTCGGAGGAGAACTGCCGGGTGACAGGCTCCGCTCCGGCCTGGGCCCCGGCTGGGCGGGTGGGCCAGGGCGTTCTACGTGGTGCCGGGGGCGGCTGCGCTCGCCGCCGCCGTGGTG